AGCTTGTGCCTGACTATCGTGTTCACCACCAGGCACCCTACAGACTCTCGATCCCCGAGGCCACCGAACTCAAGCGTCAGCTTGAGGAGCTCCTGAGACTGGGTTTCATTAAACCCAGCAACTCCCCGTGGGGTGCACCCGTCCTCTTTGCTCGCAAAGCGGACGGAACTCTCCGTCTCTGCATCGACTATCGCGATCTCAACCGCTACACGGTTAAGAACAGCTACCCCATGCCTCGTTCCGATGAGCTGTTCGACCGCCTAGCAGGCAACCGCTTCTTTACGAAGATTGATCTTCGTAGCGGTTACCAATAGATCCACGTCGCTGCAGCCGACCAGCCGAAGACAACGTTCCGATCGCGCTTCGGCCACTACGAGTTTACGGTGATGCCATTCGGCCTCACCAATGCACCCGCTACCTTTTAGAGGGCGATGAACGACATCTTCAGGGACATCCTGGAACAGTACGTTCTCGTCTACCTCGACGATATCCTGGTCTACAGTCGTACCCTTGAGGAGCACCTCAGACACCTCCGCGACGTCCTTGACCGCTTGCGCAGACATGGCTTCTACGCCAAGCTGAGCAAGTGCCGCTTTGCCCAGCACAAGGTGGATTTCTTAGGACACTACGTGTCTGATCAGGGTCTCCACATGGACGACGCGAAGATCACTGCTATTGCGGAGTGGCCCGCCCCCACATCTGCCAAACAGCTTCGCAGCTTCCTAGGCCTGACCAGCTACTATAGTAACTTCATCCGGGGATACGCTAGGTATTCCTACGTCCTTACCTCCACCCTCCTCCGGAAGAACCCACCCTGGGCTTGGACACCCCTCCACGAGGACGCCTTTCGCGCCCTCAAGAAGGCGGTGACATGCGCATCGGTTCTTCACCTACTCGATTTTGATCGCCCTTTTATCCTTACCACCGATGCATCAGACTTTGCTATAGGAGCAGTGCTTTCTCAAGTTTTCCCCTCCTCTCCTGATTCCTCTCATCCTCGTATCCCTCGCTTCCCACCACCTACCCCTACCACTGCTTCCCGACTGACGCCTACTCGTCCAGCTACTGACGAGCCTTCTATTGACTATTCTCCTACCATCGCCGAGGACGGCACTGTCGAGTCTCGCTAAGGTGATTGTCCGATAGCCTTCTACTCCCGTCAGCTCCTGCCCGCCGAGATAAATTACACTACTGATGAACGTGAGGTTCTCGCAGTAGTTTATGCCGCTTGGCATTGGCGTCACTACCTGCACGGGGCACCATTCACGGTGCGCACGGACAACTCTGTTGTCCAGGCTTTTCTGACAAAGCCGAAGCTCACTCCTCGACAGGCTCGCTGGTGGCGCGACCTATCCGAGTTTAGTTTCACCACTGAGCATATCAAGGGTGAAACTAATCGGGTCGCAGATGCCTTATCCCGGCGCCCTGACCACGACCAGGAGCACATCCAGCTCTCTTCCATCTCGGTCACCACCGTCCACCACTCGGCGATCGACGAGTTCTGCACTCAGTACCGCCACTGCCCCGACTATCGCGACATCCACGCGACCCTTCGGAGTGGCAAGACCGTCCCGAACTACTCTCTCGGGGACAACGGTCTTGTGTACTGGCACGGTTCACAGGGCACCAGAGAGCCCCGTATTTGCGTTCCCTCCACTGGACAGCTACGTATCCGMTCAGTAGCAGAGTTCCATGACCAGGCAGCYGCCGGTCATATGGGCTTCCACAAGACGTTGGCTCGTGTGAGCCGCCTGTACGTCTGGCCGAAGCGCAAGGACTTTGTGAAGGACTACGTCGCAGAGTGTCCCACCTGTCAGGAGGTGAACAGTGCGAACCACCTACCTTAYGGTTTGCTCCAGCCTCTTCCTATCCCGGAGGGTCGTTGGCAGTCCATCTTGATGGACTTTATCGGTCCTCTTCGACCTCCGACCCCCCGCGGTCATGATGCTATCCTGGTCGTCGTCGACCGCTTCACGAAGTGTGCACGCTTTGTTCCATGCCGCTATGCCATCAGTGCACGTGAGGTCGCCGATATCGTATTTGACCGAGTCGTGCGTGACCACGGCTTACCTCTGTGCATCATATCTGACCGTGACCCGCGCTTTACCAGCCGATTCTGGCGACGGCTCCACGAGGTGTACGACACTCAACTCCACTTCTCCTCGTCTTACCATCCTCAGACTGATGGTCAGACCGAGATCACGAACATGACTCTCGGGGATATTCTCCGAAAGATTGTTCGTGACGACCAGCAGTGGGATCTCCATCTGGCCCACGCGGAGATAGCCTACAACCACGCCGTCTCGCCAGCCACGGGGATGTCGCCTTACTATTGCGACCTCGGCCACCACCCTCGTATTCCCGCGGACTTCCTCCGACCGTCACAGATGCACCCAGACACGAGTTATCCCGCGCTGGATGATTGGGTTACACACTTGACGTCGATCATGAAGACCGCATTTGAGCACATAGCCGCTTCCCAGACTCGCATGGCAGCACGTGCGAACCGATCGAGGATGGATCATCCATTCAAAGTCGGTGATGACGTGCTTATCGACGCCCGCCACTTACAGCTCGAAGCGGACACGCTTCGCAAGTTTCGGCGTCGCTTCTTTGGCCCATGCCGCATCCTCCAGGCCGTCGGTTCTGATACGGCTTCTAGCCCGGTCAGCTTCCGTGTGAAGCTGCCCGACTACCTACGCCAGGCTCGTGTGCAYGATGYCTACCACGTCTCGTTACTGCRTCCTTACCGCAGACCGTCTGAGYGTTTCRCYGGACGACCATACGAGCGCCCTCCACCCATCATGGTGGACRGYCACGAGGAGTTCCTCRTTTCAGACATCATTGGTCGCCRAGTCACSGACGACAACCCTCCCCACGTCGAGTATCTCGTACGTTGGAARGGTTACCCTGATGAGGAGGCTACCTGGGAGCCCCTCGAGCACTTGCAGCACGCTCGCATGTTGGTGCGTGCTTATGACCGTGCTCGTCGTGCTGGGTTCACTGCTCCTCCTCAGCCCACTGACCCTCCTCCTTCTCCTCCGGCTGAGGAGACCGCTGAAGTCGAGCCTGATCCATCTGAGGCAGACCTTCATCAGCAGCCGGATGCTTCTGAGCGTCCACAGCGCACTCGTCGCCGTCCTGCTCGATACGACGATTGACTCTGACTTACCTTCCCACGTCTTTGACTTCTCAGTACTCCATCCACATCAGTTTTGCTACTTCAGCTCGTCGACGCTGCGGCTCTTCCTCGACGGCATTCCGGACTTCTCATCATGGACGTCATCGGCAGCTTCATGGACTTCATGATTCCCTTACCCATCATCTTTCTACCCTTCGCCGACCCTCACGCCCTAGTTAGGCAGCCCTGCATGCTTCATCTAGGTGCGCCCAGTATACCAGGCTCCCTTGTTCCCTTGCATGGTCGACCCTCCATAGCGGTCACCCCTTAGTCGAGCATTACCCGCCCTGATGGTCTATCTGTTAGGGTCATTGGTTATGTTCGCTCCCAGTTCCCTACCCTCATTGAGCCTGATGACATGTGTTTTCCCCTGTCACTATTTGTGGATGCCCTTAGGAGTTTCGACCCCTAGGCTGCATTCGCCACCCTCAGAGACCATCCCAACCTTTGGTTTGCGACACACTTCTCATGTGACATATGGTTGTCTTGTTGATTGCTTTGTTGCTCTCAGACTGAGGCTACTGCCTCCGACATTTCTAGGATTTAGYTGTTYTGCTTTYGCTGTTCTTAGGACTTATACACTAGTCAGTTGTTACCAGACTGAGGCTAGTGCCTCCAACATTCTAGGATCTAGTTGTCACTACTTTCTGCTTTCCTAGGACATGTATGCTAGTTAGTTGCTTTTGCTTTCCTAGGACATGTATCTTAGTTAGTTGCTTTTGCTTTCCTAGGACATGTATGTTAGTTAGTTGCTTCTACTTTCACTTAGGCTGTTAGCTGTGACATTGCTGTTTTGTGACATTTTATATCCTAGGTTGCATCGCATGGACTCAGCATAGAGCTTGCTCCGCATCCTAGAATACTCAGGTTTTCTTTTCTTTGGTAGAGTTCCGCTTCTTGGCAGAAGCATGTTTGTATCTAGGCGATCCATCACAGGCCGAGGATCACGTAGCGGACCTCGGGTTGGCCTGTGAGACTAGCCCCTTGGGCTGTTCTCACAGGCCTGTGTTGTATTCGGGGTAGGCCAGTCCAGGCCGGTACCTCTGTCGATACCAGCCAGTCCAATCCAGTCCCGTCAGTCCGCTGGGGTACACCCCAGCCATTGTCTGTTTTCAGCCTCATTCTTCACTTGCACATTTTGGAGTACGTGCGTTGGAGTCTTGCGTGGGGAGCTGCGTTGTGCCATCTCGCTCCCCCCCCTTCTTCCTCCATCTCCATCTCTGTCACTAGCGGAGCATCACACCTGGTGGGTCCGCTACAGCAGCGCTAACGCGCGGTGTCTCTCTCAATGCCCTCACTGTGTACTCTCTCATCCAATGTGGTGTGTGAATTGCTCTCTCCAAGATCTCTTGTGGTTGTGCATGTCTATGGGAACATGTGGATGTCATGCTGTATCTTGTTTCAATCAGGCACATAGCAAGGCACTCCTCCACTAGAACTGAAATGATGAGTAAAATATTAAAAATATTGACCTCTAATTTCTTGGTGGTCTTCATGAAAAAAAGAGAAAAAGAAAACGCAGGGCGGTCCAAAAAAAAAAAAAAAAAAAAAAAAAAAAAAAAAGGACGCCAATTCTGAGATATGGGGCCTCGCTCCACTACTCTTGACATGCACAAAAGCCAAAAATCATGGCAGTGTATCTTTCCATGTTCTAGGAGCAGATTCACTCTCATTTTGCACATTTCGAGAGTAGTGGAGCCAGGCTCATCGTGTGATTCCAATGGGACTCGAACTCAGTCTGAGCTTCAACAGCTCATGGGTGTACCAACCGAGCTTAGTACGTTTCCTCAGCTTCGTTAGGGGGCTTGGCTCCATATGGGACTCTACTCACCAAATTCGCAAAATGAGAATGAATCGTCCGCTAGAACGTAGGAAGATTCACTGCTGTATTTTTTTGTCTTTTGTGCATGTGCTGAGTAGCGGATCGAGAGTCGAGACCCTTGACCTCCACGTTCTTTTTGCAGCAAATTTAAGTTTTGTCCCATCCTACCCTTAGCTCTCCATTCCCACTTCTTGGGATTCAATTTCTACTGTTTGACTGGCTTACCTTCTTTTTTTTTTTTTTTTTTTTTTTTTTTTTTTTTTTTAAGGTTGAGGTTTTTGTGTTTTTTTTTTTTTTTAAAGGTTGAGGTTTTTGTGGTTTACCTTTGGCAAACAGAGTAGCAGATATAGGGCCTCACTGCACTACTCTCCAAATGTGCAAAATGAGGATGAATCTTCCGCTAGAACGTGGAAAGATACACTGCCATAGTTTTTGTCTTTTGTGGGCATGGAAAGTAGTGCAGCGAAGCCCATATTCCCGCTTTTTTACTAACCTTTTTTTTTTTTTTTTTTTTTTTAACCTTTTTGTTTTCCATTGAATTGGTAGGCCCCAGGAAATTCATAAATATTTGCTTTGTCCTGTGACTCCATCTGGATTCGAACTTGAGTCTGTACTTTGTGACATTCCCTCTTCTTTTTCATCAGGGGATATGGCCATTGACGTTGTATAGTTATCTGAGGGCATACTCACGCTAGCACTTTCCTAAAAGTATCTGGCCGCAATTTCGACTAGATCTGGATGCATCTGGCCGCAATCACGTCCCAAGTGTAAGTGTCAGGATTCAAACCCATGCTCTGTTCATCACCAGTTAGGTGTGTGGAGTTGTGAACCGTTCTGTTTTTTTTTTTTTTTTGACTAATGTATATTTACTATATTATATTATTATTATTATTATTATTATTTTAATAATATCCTTGAGACCTGCGATCCCGTTGGTGGTAAGAGAACCAGCGAGTCGCGAACCCAGGAAGCATGGAAGGCCATGCAAAAAGACAACCGAGAAGAAAAAGAACCGCGGAGCAAAGAGGCTATTATGTGCTCATACGGACTGATATGGCAAGGCAAGACCCCGTGCACCGATTCAGTGAGCTGGATGAGAGCAACAGGTGATAGAGGACGTAATTCGGTCGTGGACACAGGAAGCATGGAAGGCCATGCAAAAAAACTACCAAGAAGAGAAAGAACCGCAGACCAAAGAGGCTATTATGTGCTCATACCGACAGATATGGCAAGACCCCCTGCACCGATTCAGTGAGCTGGATGAGAGTTTCACATTCACTGGAAACCGTGGAGGGTCACGGAGCACAAGGGGCACAGACGACCTCGGGATGACTTTCACGTCCCCTACCTTCAGCCCAATTTCGTTCTTGTCGGCAACCCCTAAGTAAACCCCTTGAGCCCCCCCCCCTTTCCCTGACCCTCCCTCCCCGCTATACCCTTAAGCAAATCCCTTGGGGGACCCCCCCTCCCCGGAGCGGAGCATGCAGCACACTGCCACTCGGACTGCCAGAAACCGGCATGGGTATGAGGACCGATGGGTCCGACAGAGCGGACCTCGCCAAGATGGATCTGGCTGGTACTACCCCACCTTGGGGGAAGAATGAGCTCCTGCAACGGGTCGACGATGCAAGGGTTCAGGGGTTCAAGGGTTCGACAGACTGCGGCTTGGAAGTTGGGAAGCCATGGAGCACGACTCACTGCGAACATGAGCTGCTCTGCGCCGCGCTCTTAGGCTGACGAGACGAGATGTGATCTTGTACAACCTCTGCAACTTCTGTGCGGTCGACGATGCAAGACAGAGGGGGTTTAAGAGCCGTGATGTGGAAGTTGCGATGCCATACTGCACTGCTGACTGCAGCCACGAGCTGCACTGCACTACACTCTGAGGGGGCCCTCGCCTGAGAATGCATGTCCGAGTCCGCCGCTCTGCTCGTGGGCCGAAGAGGCGAGCCCCTCTCATGCTACCAATGGGACTTTGTATAACATCTCTAATTTTTGTAATTGGGACGCTGGGCCCGCTTCCCTACAGGTGCAGCTCCCCACCAATAGATGAAGCCTCCCCAAGGCCAGCTTGATGTGGCTGTTACACCAAAAAAAAAAAAGGAAAAAAAAAAAGAGAACCAGCGAGATCGAGGTTTCCAGGTGGATGACTCCATTCTATTGGTGGGGAGCCACACCTTCTGGAAATCGGGTCCAGCGTCCCTTTTCAAAAGCCTTATGCACTTTGCTGCTCAAGACACTTACGAGCTCAGGAAGAGGAGGACCGCAGACCCTCTCAGCCTAGGTCTGTAAGTCGGTGGTCCCACAAAAGCTCCAAGTAACTGAGCTTGTCCCGGTCATCGAAGTAGGGCCAGGATGTATAGAACCCCACTTGGATTTGAAGCGGATCTTGGAGGATTCTGTCGAGACTGTTTGCTTCTTGATTTGACCCACTCCGACATGATGTCTAGTCTGATAGCTTGCTTGTATTGTGCGAAGATAGAGCCCGAAGTGGTGATTTTCTGAGAAAAGATTCGGTCTCTCCTAGCTAGCCAGTGCACACAAAAGGCTCTCACCCGAAAGAACTGTGCTGTTTTGAGAGACTGTTTAACCAAACCCTGTTCTGTTCTACCTGTGAAAACAAATTCCTTATGCCATACTAAAGACCCTCCCTCCATATGCCTGTGACCACATTTGCTGTAATTTGTCCCAAAAACCTCTTGCAATGACACATTCCCACACCATCGACGCAATGAGTCTTCTAACGCAGCTTGTGGCCACCACATCGCTCGGCACAAAGCGTCAACCTCCATGCCCTTTTCTGAGCACCACATGATGGCTGTTGGGGCGCATGAGTGGAGGTGTAACCACTGTAGCCCCCCTGTCTTGGTCTCCAACACCCCTACCGGTAGTAGTAGATGAATGGAGAAGGTAACCCATCTAGACTCAATAGTCTGTAAACCCCATGATTTACACCTGTTTAGCCAGCAAAACCTCAGGCTTGCTTGCAGCTCATGGCTCTGAGCCTGCAGCTTGTACCCTAAAACTTGAATGAGTAGTCTGTGAGGGGTATTGTTGAGGTAACCCCTGCTGTGTCTGTTATTTTCCAACCGATTTTGTCCACATCCACTCTCCATTCACAGACTGATTTGGATTCCAGTGATACCTGGAATTCATTATTCCCCGCCTGTCCTTTCTTTTGAATTAACACCAATCCTTTCCTATCCCGCTGGGGTCTTCACTAC